ATTTGAGAATGTAAAGTTGTACTCACAGGTATCTATTCCCATTTGATTGCTCAGACTTTTGAGGGGAGCTTTCACAGGGATCCCAAGTGAGGGAGGAAAGGGCTGTGAGTCTGTTTTGGAGCCTTCACATGTAGCTGTGGCATGGGATACTCTAACAGGGGCTGATATCTCCTCTGGCCTCAGCAAGCCATTAGACCAATGTCTAATGTATTCTCTTGCAGATTTTAGATGAAGTGGAGAAGAGGCGAGAGATGTCCCCGGCCCTGGTGCACCCGTTCATGCGCAGTGTCATGGAGGCACCTTTCCCTGCTCCTGGACGCACAATTACTGTGAGGAGTTTCCTGCCAGGAGCAGGAAATGAGGTAATGGAAACTAGGAGCAGCTTTGCTGTGCTGGGGCACAGCGGCACTTTGCGAACTGACCTGTGGAGAGATGCTGCCTGCAAAAAATCAGTCTGAAGATCATAGAATCATGGAATGGTTTGGGTTGGAAAGGACCTCAAGATCATCCAGTTCCAACTCCCTACCATGGTCAGGGATGCCTCATACTAGACCATGCCACCCAAGACCTGTCCAGCCTGGTCTTGAGCACTGCCAGGCGTGGGGCATTCATCGTTTGTCTGGACACCCTGTGCCAGCGCCTCAGCACCCTCACAAGGAAGAGCTTCTGCCTTATATCTAACCTGAACTTCCCCTGTTTCAGTCTGAACCCATCAACCCTTGTCCTGTCACTACAGTCCCTGATGAAGAGCCCCTCTCCAGCATCCCTGTAGCCCCCTTCAGACACTGGAAGCTGCTCTGAGGTCTCCACACAGCTTCTCTTCTCCAGGCTGAACAGACCCAGTGTTCTCAGCCTGTCTTCATACGGGAGCTGCTCCAGCCCCTGCTCATCCTCTTGGCCTCCTCTGGACTTGCTCCGACAGCTTCATGTCCTTATGTTGGGGACACCAGAACAGTGCTTGCACAGTGCTGCAAGTGGGGATAATGTCTTTAAGTCCGAAGAGAGGCTGCCACAGAAACCCTGTTGAATCATCTACTGTAGAAGTGATTCCCTGCTTTCTAAGGCAGATCTGTCTGGGAGTCCTCTGGGCAGTTGGACTCTCCAGGCCACGGGGTTGCACTTGCAGAGAGCCCCCATTCCATGTTCTAGCCAGGCTTCCACTCCCCTGAGCTGGCTCTGTGGTGGCTTTTCTCCTCCAGTGCTCTGCATCTCTGCTTGCCTGTAGGTGCTGGAGCTCTGCCGCCCGCTGGATTCCCGACTGGAACACGTTGACTTCGAATGCCTCTTCAAGTGTCTCAGTGTGTCTCACACAATTCGGGTCTTCGCCTCTCTCCTGCTGGAAAGGAGGGTGATCTTTGTCGCTGACAACTTAAGGTAAAAACGGAGTCTGAGTGACTGCTTCTGAGGGACACTGTTTTCTTCTGCACTGGGGCTTGTTTTCGTGTGCAAGCTTGTCTGACTTGTAAATAGTGACATTTACAAGCTTTTGCAGGCACTTCACACAACACGTGCATGCCTGGAATTTGGAGTATACTATTTACCCAATACAGGAGATAAAGGAATGTTCCCTTTACCTCTTTAGTCTGGGTTGATGCTATTCCTAGCTCCTCAGAATTGCCTTTAAAAGTGGATGCATGGGGCTTGTGCTGATGTGTAAATGTGCGTGAGTTATGTTCCCCTGAGCATTTCTAACCTGTGTCTGCAGCCAGGTACTGAAGGAGAAGTTGACAATCAACTCTGTGCTTCTCTTACCTTTCTAGCATTCTGTCTAAATGTGGCCATGCTGCAGTTGCAACGCTTTATCCCTTCACTTGGCAACACACCTACATACCAGTCCTGCCAACTTCTATGATTGATATTGTGTGCTCTCCGACCCCATTCCTAATTGGCATTCTGTCCTGCTCGTTACCACAGCTCCAGGACCTTCCCATAGAAGAGGTGAGAATTGGGTGAAGCACAGTATAGGGCCAGTGGCAGTGGTATGAGCTGACCTCTGGGGTAATCTCTGTGGGTTCTGCCTTAATATGAACTCTCAAACTTTGCTGAGGTTGGTGAACTTGACAGGTACATGTCAAGGTGTCCCACTGGTATCAAGGATCAATATTATTCACTGTCCTTATGGATGGGCTGCAGTTTGTGTTGGGTGTGTGACATCCTCTGGCACTCAGAAAGGGTTTTTTCTGTACAGCAGCACACCTGGTTATAAGAGTCTGTGTGTTTTGTGCATCCTTCCCCAGGTGCTGATCGTTGATCTTTGTGCCGACAAGTTCTTGCAAGAGGTGAGTGAAATAAGAGGAGCAGTCACTCAGGGTTATATGCCAGGGAAAGGCACCAGTGAAAGAAAATGAGAACAAGAGCTCAGCAAAAGCTGGTATTCATATGGAAGCTCCGGTGGCTGAAGAAGTATCTTGCATTCCTTTCTGACCAACAGAGAAGGGAAGAGGCTTACAAATTCTTGTTGTAAGACTGAAGTTGCATGAGGTGCAGAACTCTGTGAAGCCGAAGATGCTGCTTATCTGAGCCTGATTTGAACAGGGATAATGAGTGGGCTCATTATGTGAAGTGGACCACTAAGGCTCTTTGCTGCTTTCTGTCTGGCTGCATACATGTTCTCCTCTCTCATCTATCTGGGGTGGGTTTCCTTTGGTTGGTTGATTTTTCTCCCCAGGGTGATAGTTGAGGAGACAGATCATCACTACAGTTCACTTGCGGTTCTCCGCTGAACTTCACCTCATGTGCTTCTGCATCACAAGTTGCTGTAAATGTATGAGAGTGTTACTAGTTCAGGAGGATATTTGCATCTCCTTTTCCTTGCCTTACTGTTCTCTTTTGCATTGCAGCCTGCAACTGGAGAAAGGTATTAAAGGATTTGGGTTATTTTCTGTTGGTTTTCTGTGTTTTATCACTGATACTGTAAGCGTGAGTCTGTGTCATGGATATAGCACACGTTGTGTGTGTGACTCCAACAGGATTTGGAGGATCTAGTGGGAGGGTGCTGAGCAAATGGTTTTGATTTCTGTGGGTGCAAGACAAATGTGTGTTCTCCGCCAATACAAACCATATCACAGAGTAACTTCCCTCAAGCTGTTTTAGCCATGTTATGAGTATTTCTCATCAGTTCACCATGAGAAGGTTCTCAAAATGGCCTTTTTTCTCTTTAGGTATCAGATGAAGATGAGATCCTGCCCCATAAACTCCAAGCTGCTCTTGTCCAAGTCTTGGAAGAACGAAGTGAAATCTTGTCTCATCAGCAGAGCGACACACAAGGTACTTGTGCAGACAAATGTTTTCACATTAGCAAATCTCCACAGCTCTGATGGGAAAATGAGTGAGAGGAAATACACAATTTAGAAAGGTATTTTCTTGTAACCCATCAGTGTGTGCTTGAGCCCAGAACCCCCTGTGTGCTGGGCTGCACCCCCAGAGCGTGAGCAGCAGCTCAGGGAGGGGATCCTGCCCCTCTGCTGCACCCTGGGAAGACCTCCCTCCAGTCCTGATCCAGTGCTGGGGCAACAGCAGCAGAGGGACGTGGAACCTGAGCTGTGCCTTCCTTGGCATTGAACACGCATCTGGGATTTCATGTCTGAGGCAGCCTAAAAAGTAACTGCTACTCCTCTTGCGGAAGAGGAAGGACCAAAGTGACGAATGCGCAGTGAAGGTCCCCTCTGTTGTTCTCCTTGCAGGTGATGTGCCCCTGAACTCCTTGGTCTCTGAGGCTTTTGTGCAGTTCTTTGTGGAGATTGTTGGACACTATTCCCTGCACATGAACGTCACAGAGAGAGGGGAGCGCGTGTTCCAGCGGGAACCGTTCCGCAAGTCTCACGTCTCGCGCAACGTGCGGCACTTCCTGCACTTCTTCATGGAAACACAGATGTTTGCGGGCTTCATCCAGGACCGAGAGCTGAGAAAGAACCCGGTCAAAGGTGAGGCTGGATCCTGCATTCTGGTTTTGATTCACTTTCAGAGTATCATGTCAGGTGACTTTAACTCTTAGGACACCTTTTGTCCTGGTGAGTTATTCCATTGGTGTTTTGGTGCCAGTGGTAGCTCTGTTCCTTCTAATCAAGGGCTGAAGCAAAGGATTTTTACATCTCTCCTCTCTCATCCTGTAGCCTACATCATACCCATTATTTCCTTTTTGTAACCTCCTTGTTGATGACAAGCTGTCACATGCTAAAAGATGGAATAGCTCTGTTTCTATTGTTTCTGTTTTAGGCCTGTTTGAGGTCCGTGCTTTGGAGTATTTGGAGAGTATTCCAGGGACTGAACCGACTGGAATGAACAAAATCCTTCGCAGTCTCGGTAAAGGGGCACCCTTGCTCTTTGTTCATTTGTATTTGTTTAAATGAACCATAGAATCCCAGACTGGTTTGGGTTGGAAAGGACCTTAAGATCATCCAGTTCCAACCCTTGCGACGGGCAGGGATGACTCACCCTAGCCCATGCTGCTCAAGGCTCTGTTTACCACTTATTTGGGTAACTGTGCCAGCGCCTCACCATCCTCATACCCAAGACTTTTGTTATTGACCAAATAACTGTATGGGAAAGAGAGCAGAGCCTCTTCGCTGCAGTGTGCGCCCCTGTATTGTTTTCAGTTGCCCGTTCAGCGATGCTGAGCCCTTTGTGTCTCTTTCTCCACAGGCAGTAAAATGAAGTTTCTCCAGAAGAGATGAGCGAGCGCTGCTGCTGCTGCTGCTGCTGCTGCGGGCCAGCGGCGGGCCGCGGGTGCCGCCTGCCCTGCGGCAGGAGCCGGACTCCTCTGCGGCTGCAGGAGGGCTGGGGCCGGGTGCGGCTCCTGCCTTATTAAACCGTCAATTCAGCGTTACCGAGCCTCAGCCTACTCGTGCCGCGCTGCGATGGGAAAGGGCTGTGACCGGGAGGGGCGGGGCTATGACAGGGAGGAGCGGGGGCCAGAGCGGGAGGTGGCCCTGGGAGGGGCGGGGTCTCGGGCAGCAAGGGGAGGGGCCGCGTGTGCTGCGAGGTGCCGTAGCTGAGGTGAAACGCGCAGGCGCAGTACGGGCCTGGGCGCACCATGGCGGGCCCGGGGCTGGTGGCGGGGGATGTTGTGGTGGATGCGCTGCCCTACTTCGACCAGGGCTATGAGGCGCCGGGCGTCCGGGAGGCGGTGAGTGTGGGTCGGGCCGGGGAGGCGGGACTGGGCTGGACCGGGAGCCGAGGTGCGTGACGCCTTGTGTGCGCTAGGCCGCGGCGCTAGTGGAGGAGGAGACGCGGCGGTACCGGCCCACCAAGAACTACCTCAGCTACCTGCCGGCGCACGACTTCAGCGCCTTCGAGGTGAGGTGGACCGAGCTCCCCCACTTTCCTGCCTGTTCCCCGGGCTGGGCTCCCCCCGCCACCTCACCCGCGCCTTCCCGCAGACCGAGATCATGCGGAACGAGTTCGAGCGCCTGGCGGCCCGACAGCCCCTGGAGCTGCTTAGCATGAAAAGGTAAACGGGGTGGCCCCAGGGCCGGGGAGCACCGGCCCGAGAGCGGAGCCTCCCGCGCCCCGTCCTGAGGGAGGCGGGCGGTTGGTCTGTTGCAGGTACGAGCTGCCGGCGCCGTCCTCCGGGCAGAAGAACGACATCACGGCGTGGCAGGAGTGCGTGAACAACTCCATGGCGCAGCTGGAGCACCAGGCCGTGCGCATCGAGAACCTGGAGCTCATGTCGCAGCACGGCTGTAATGCCTGGAAGGTGTACAACGAGTAAGGCTTTGCGGGACCTCGCTGAAGTTCTGGCTTCAGCTTCTGTGTGGTTGAGGTGTTTCCCTGTGTACATCAGTGGGGATCTTCAGAACATACCACAAAATCCCAGACTTGTTTGGGTTGGTCGGGAACTTAAAGCTCATCCAGTTCCAGCCTCTTTCCACAGGCAGGGACATCTTTCACTAGAGCAGGTTGCTCCAAGCCCTGTCCAGCCTGGCCTTGAGCACTGCCAGGGATGGGGTAGCCACAGTCACAGGTTCTGGACTCACTCCTGCAGGACCACATCTTTCATATGTTGGGGGCCCCAAGGAGTGAGCAGCACAGACTGTACTGAGAACAAGTTGTCTGGTGTTTGCACTGAGGTGGCTTTTTGTGTCTTACTTAAATGGGTCAGATGCAGCAATTGTATGTGTTCCTAACACTTTGCTTCCATTCTGCTCTTAGACATCTGGTTCATATGATAGAACAAGCCCAGAAAGAGCTTCAGAAGTTGAGGTAATTTTTTTCTACATTTTTCAGAATGAAGTTGGAAGGAAAGTGAGCCCCTTCCCCTAGGCTGTGCAAGGTTTGCGTGTGTGCTGCTGCCATGGTCACAGGAAAAGAGACCCAGTAACAACAGTAATTAACAGATCTGACCCTGCCGTCCTCAAGCAGTAGGCTTGAATGTTGGAAGTTTTGCTTGTAGTACAGCGGAGGTTTTGTGTCTGTGGTATTATTGTTTCTGTCTGTCTGTCTGTCTCAGGGTTCTGTACTGGGATTTGTCTATCTATCTGTTGCAGTTACAGCCCTGGCTACACAAATGTTTTATGATAGTACTTCTAGAGACCAGGTGTATTTTGAAATTAGAAATTACAGCTTGTAAATAAAGGAGATAAAAAGAAATCCATCTTTTTTCTCCCCAGGAAAAACATTCAGGATCTGAACTGGCAACGAAAGAACATGCAACTCACAGCTGGGGCCAAGCTCCGAGAAATGGAATCCACGTGAGTATCTCCAGTTCTCTGTTAAACCTTCCATAAGTAAAGCTTCTGCCTGGAATTCTTCCATGCAGAGCATTTGTGATCTTTCCATACTGCTGTGGGATGTTACCGTGGGAAAACTGCTCATTGCTTTGGACAAGGGGTTTGTCATTCAGGTCTGCGTAATAATTACTACGGTTGAGTGAATCAGTGAGCAACAGATGTGGAAGGAGGGCGCATCAGCTCCTTCAGAGTGCCTAAACTGTTTTTTAAACTCTTTAAATACTGACAGTCAATGGGTTTGATTCTGGTAAACCTCTGCAAAACAAAATTTTGACAGGGTTAAAACCTACATTTTGTCACTTTGGTTGTTCAAACCACCATTGCTACTGACAGATGTTTATCATGTGTTGAGAAAAACACTGCATTATTCCACGTCTTTGTGCTTTGTGGAGCAATAATTGTCTCTTTATTTTAAAGCAGAGGATGGCTACATAAAACTTAAAGGCTTTTCAATTTCTTCTCCCTTCCAGATGGGTGTCTCTTGTCAGTAAAAACTATGAGATTGAACGAACCATTGTGCAGCTGGAAAATGAAATCTCACAAATCAAACAGCAGCATGGTGAGGCGAACAAGGAGAACATCCAGCAAGACTTCCAGTGACTTCACCCTTGGTGTCTCACTGCAGCATGTGTTAACACAAAAACCTTTGGAGATGCTGTGTCTTTGTAGACATCGTGAGTTGCAGTTGTGTGCAGTTATTTTCATTGTTTCTTTTTTTCATTTCTAGGACTCAAAATGCTCTGTTCAAATGTGTTATGTGCATAGTTAAATGTATTTTAACTGGTTTGTGAATTGTTTCACTTTTAAATACCAAATGTAGGAGCTCTTAAAGAAAAGCCTTTTCATGATTTTACATTTTCCCCTATGCCGTTAATAAACACGGTTTTGCTATCTGTATGGCTCTTGCCTCATGTTCAAAAGCCAGCCTGCGAGCAGTCCGCAGGGTAAGCCTTGTCCACTGAACCCACTGACTGGCCCTGCATGGCTGGTGTGTGTGTGAACTTGAACCCAGTGTGGGAGACTGAGCCTGGGAGGAGGCTGCTGCTGTTACAGTATTTGAAACTGACCCATGCCAGCCTGCGAGAGAGGCTAGGACAGGGTGTACAGCATTGCACAGGTACTTGTTTGTGTGTGTGAGGGGTCTCAGTCGGACTGTGCCATGCCTAAGGGATTTTCATGGAATCACAGCCTGGTTTGGGTTGAAGGGGCCTTAAAGCTCCTCCAGCTCCAACCCCTGCCCCGGGCAGGGACCCCTTCCACTGGAGCAGCTTGCTCCAAGCCCCTGTGTCCAACCTGGCCTTGAGCACTGCCAGGGATGGGGCAGCCACAGCTTCTCTGGGCACCCTGTGCCAGCGCCTCAGCACCCTCACAGGGAAGAGCTTCTGCCTAAGAGCTCAGCTCAGTCTCCCCTCTGGCAGGTTCAAGCCATTCCCCTTGTCTTACTTTGCTGTCGCTTCACACCCCTTTTCCCACGGGGTTTTGTGCCCCGTGCTACACGGCTGTCACGGGAACCCTCGTTAAGTTCTCACGTGTATTTCTCACCCTTCACCAAAGCCAGCCACGGCGCACTGCCCGCAGTTCTTACAGCACGGTAACACCCGCGTTCTCCGCTGATCCCGGTGCTCCACCGCCATCAGCTGCAGGGTCACAACTCCCGTCTTTGGGATGCTCACTGCGGACAGAGGGCTCCTCGCCAAGCTCTGCTGCTTCTTCCTCTGTGGGAGCGGGTGGGTGATGGGGGACACGGCCCCTCCCGCCCGCCGTGTCCCCACCGCTGCCTCCGCACCGGGCAGCCTCCGGGCTCTAAGCTCCGCCCCTAGCTCTAAAGCCTCCTCTTTCGATTGGCTTGAAGGCCTCTGACACGGACCAATGGGAGATAAATCCTGAGACGCGGTGACGGGCCCGCCCAGCGTCACGACTCGTACTTTCCGGGCCCTTCCCGCCCCACCCACACTCGCTGGCGGAGCACGCGCCGCTGCGCACGGCCTCCCTGGCCCCGCCTCCATTGCGTGAGGCGCGCGCACGACGCGTCGTGACGCCGTACGTGAGCGGAGCGGGGAGCTGGGTTCAAAGGAGGAAACATGGCGGAAAACAAAGGAGGCGGCGGCGGCGGGGAGGGGGCTGCCGAGGCCGGGCCGGGCGGCGGCGGCGGCGTGGAGCCCGCGGCCGCCTCCCCCTCGGCCGCCCTGCCGCCTGAGGAGCGGGAGAGTCCCGGGGCGGCGGCAGCGGTGGAGCGCGGTCTCGGGGAAGCCGAGGCCGAGGCAGCAGCCGCGGCGGCGGGGCCCGCTGTCGTTCCAGGGCCTGGCCCCAGCCCGGTTCCTCCGCTGACACCGGCGGCGCCGGGGCCGTTCTCGCTGCTGGACACATGCGCCGTCTGCGCGCAGAGCCTGCAGAGCCGGCGGGAGGCCGAGCCGAAGCTGCTGCCCTGTCTGCACTCCTTCTGCCGGCGCTGCCTGCCCGAGCCCGAGCGGCAGCTCAGCGTGCCTGTGCCCGGCGGGGCGAACGGCGACATCCAGCAAGGTGAGTGCGGGGGAAGCCGGCAGCGCTGGCGGCTTCTTCGGGAGGTTCCTCTGCGTTGCTCGCAGGTTCTTGTCTCTGGCATCGAGCGAACTTCAGCTTTTCTGGGCTTGAGCCCGCAGTTTGCCCCGGCCTTGTTTGACAGCTCTACCGACAGAGCTTGTGTCGGTGCCCGCCGTTGCTGCTGCTCCTGCTCTGATCCTCCGGGATCTCTCTTACCACGCCCATCAGCAGTTTGCGCCGTGTTTGTAAGCGACGGCTGAAACTTGTGAGGTTTTGGAATTACATCGTGAATTGCCTTGTACGTTGTGTTCTGGATTTCAGGGGTGCTCCAGCAGAGGCGTGTCTGTGAGGGAGTGTTCGGCTGGTCAGTACTCGAGGAAAAATACTGTCGGAGTGAGGTGTAGCTCACTGTTGTTGCAGTATGACATGGCTTGCTTGGCAGTGGTGTGTGGAGTACACTTGCTTTCAGTTTCGTGTGTCCTGTGGTCCGAGTTAAACCACTGCAGTGCTGTTTGTCACTTGTCTTGATGTGCCTGTGTACTCTACGCATGTATAACTCCTGTGCCGTGGAACGAGTGTAAACTGCTCCTTCCAAGTGTGTGTATTGAAATCACAGCTTGATTTTTCCCCCTTTTTTTTTAAACCGTTCAGAGATAGATTTGAAGAGCTTCTGAAGCTCTTCATAGAGCAACTCCCATGGTGTGGTCTGCAGACCAAATTAGGGCCTTGGGAAGTGGTTTTGCAGCTCTTAATTGGGCCTTGTGGTCAGTGAGACCTTGTTTGGCGACATCTTTCTGGGTTTAGCAAGGACTTGAGCCTTTCCAGTGTTGCATAGTGAGATAATTAGCCTGGCTTGATAGTACTGCTTTCATCCAGAGTGTCCAGAAACAGTTCATCTAGGATGTCGTCTTTGAAAGTCCATTGCTTTTAAAAAGCTGGTGAATTCAATGTAGCTGATAAATGCAGTAACTAAAGCACTTGGTCTTGTGACCCCTGTTAAGTTCCAGATTTTATATTTTGCATTATAGATGCAAATGAAAGATACAGAACTTGAAGCTAAATTGATTTTATGGCCATCAGCAGAATTATCTGCATCTTGCTGTGTCTGTCAGGATACAAGTGTAGAAACAACACAAAGCCTTAGGTTCTGAAGTATGTGTAAACTGGAGTTTCACTTCTTGTTACATGTATCTTAATGCTTTAATCTGTTCTTTGAAGTAAGAATTCCCCTTTGGGTTGGTGCATCAAAACTTTTGGATGATGTGAGCATCATGGGCGTCTTTGCTCCAGGAAACTACGCGTGTAGAGACATGTGTGATCCATCACGGTGGTACAGATGCACGTTATGCACAAAATGCATGCATGTTTGCATGCACAAATGCATTAGCCCAGCAGGTCACTTAAGAACAAGGCATTGACCAGACAGAAGATGCAGGTTTGTGGACAGTGCTTGCCACTTGTTGTAAATGGAATCAGTTAAATGGCTTGAAGTGCTTACCAGTCAGTCAGGTCCAAAATGAGCATTCTCAGCATCCAGAGAAGTACTACATTGCTTAATCCTACAGATTCCTTCCCTGCTGTCATGAGTTTTGATGGTCATGATGTGTTGCTTCCACTTCTACTGCTTCTCTAGTCTACTTAACCACGAGCAGGTATTTTTTCACAAAGGAAGAATTAATGAGAAGTGGTACCTGTAGCTATACCTGGAACAGGTTACACTTAACTGCAGGCTCTCAGTTCTTGTTTATTTGCTGTACTACTCTATATGCATTTAAATTTGCCATTTTTACTGTCTACACCTAGATAACATAATTACAAGTGCTATGGAAAAAACAGGGGTTTCTTTTGTCATTTTCCTGGTTTCTTTGTTAGTTATCTTTAGATTTTGCTCTGTAAGAGTTGTCAGTATTAACAGTAATAGGTATGTGTATTGATTGGGTAATAACTGTGGAAGGCACTTACCAGGAGTTGAGTGCAACCTCAGTACATACAGAACAGTTCTGTGTCCTCTCCTAGTGAAAACATGCTGCTGCTCTTGGGGAAAACAGAAGGATGCTTGAAGGCGGGAGTTTGTGGTCTATATCAGCATCTCTTCTCCTATCCTGTTGCCACTCCCTTGAGAGACACTGCTAATGAAGACAGAAGAATGTTCTGAATTCCCAAAATCTTAAGAAACTGACTAAAATTTAAAACCACAACCTCAAGTTGTGGCTGGCTCTGTTATAGAGGAGTCACTGGTGGGTTCGTACCTATTGCACTAGTGACAGATTGTTTTGGCTGTTGTTTATGTTGGGGGGGGGGAAGTGTTTTGTTTCATGTATTTAAAGCATACTTTTATGACACTTGTTACACATAAAAAATAACATCTCGTATGCAGCTTAATGACTTTCTAAGTCATTGGAATGTGTGTTTATTTGGTGGATAGCTGATTGCTTAATGCGTAGTGTTTCAGCCGTCCAGAGTGAACAGGTTACAAGAAAATGCCACCTTCTGTTTTTATCATAGTGTTCTGAAAAAGGCTTACTTTGAAGTTAGAGATTTCAGACTGTTACAGATCCCACAAACCACCTTGTTCTGCACCCACCGCTGCAGCTGCTCCTGGGAAGAGACTTGTTTGGAGGTTTCACTGCCTCACTGAGATATTTACAATCTCTCATAAGAAGGTTATCTCAACAGAGGGAATGTGTGGCCCTCCCAGCTCCCTGAGAATGGCACAATCTGCATTAGGCTAAAAAAGAGCTGGAGGATGCTTTTGTGGAGCCTAAGGGAAACCTCTGCAACTTAATGTGCATGTATGTATAATTTGAGGAACAATCCATTTACCACTGAGTGCTGTAATACCTAGTATCATAAATTATTTTGATAGCTGAATTCAGCTCCTATACCCACTGTTTGTGTATTTAGAAACCATGTATTAATCACACCTTAAATTATGCAGGAAGTAGTTTTAATTTGCTTTGGGAGGGGGACCTAAAACCAGTATGATGGTTGGGAGAGTGTGACATAGCACTTAAACTGAATTCAGTTGTAGTTACTGTATTTTCAGTCTTGAAAGCTGAAAACTCCAGCATCAAATAGACTGCTTTAAGCTGTCTCAGTGCAGACCATCTTGGGTTTAGGAAATCTTAGCATACATCACCTGAATTTTCTTGGTTCTTTGGCTTTCTCCTGTGTTGATGAGTGAGGGTCATGGATTTATATCTGCTGGAGCCCAGCAAAGGCCAAGTCCTGAGAAATGTTGAGTTCATCTGGGCTTATTAAAATCTTGGTCTGAAACTTAAATTTTGTTCTAAATGTAATTTCAGTGTATTTTAAAAGGATGCTTTTGTCTGGTAACATTCTGGAGCGCGTGTCATTTTTATATTAATAGATGTCTG